ACAAACAGGCCAACAATCTGAAATGACTTACATCTTAAATAAATCAGTAACCAACCTGAGGAGGGGACGCTTCACTTCTATTAACACCATCTGGAGACTTTGTAGCTTGTGTTGATGCATTCTAAGAATAAGAAAGAACAGCATAAAGAAGAACAGAAAACTAAGTTTTAAACCAAAACATTAAGTAAGACCTACTAGACACTTTTATCTATTGAACAAAATTAGTAATTGTTTATTAGGATATTTTCATGCAAGCAAAGGTAGTGTGGTTAAGTATTTTAGAAAAATTACTTTGCTGTAGAACATGAAACCAAATCATAAAGATTAGTATGTGGCAAATTTATTTCAAACTAATCACAAACCTCTTCTCCTTACACTGCTAGTTTTGTCCCCATGACAAAACCCAACAACAGGAACTTGGTCAGCACAGCTCACTCCAATAGAAAACTATCCAAAAAGAAGTCATGTTACCTGCTCCCTACATTAAAATCACATTCAAACTAAAATTATTTGGTCAAAGCTATTAAAAAAAAAACTTGGGTTATAAGAAATTGAAATGCCTCATTCATTCTAAGCCAGCAATGTAAATGAAGCCAGTGCAAACACTCTCAGAAAAATGTTCCACTGGAAACTTCTTCCACAGGTACTGGCTTTTGTTTTCTTCTGTTGGCGAGCCCAGTGCTTCCAGAGAGGACCACTGGTTAGCTCATGCCATGGACTGCACAGACAGCGCTCAGGGTTCAGACTCAGCACTCTGTAAGCATGCACAGAGCACGGCCACCCCTCAATTCACCACTACAGAAGCGGCCCAGGGAAAACCACCTCCCTGCTTTACACAACAGCATGCACAACATAAGCCAACAGTGGTCACTGCCCAGCAGCTACATGCTACACTTCCTCTTCCTTTAAAGCTAACCCAAGGAAAGATCAATGCCTCTCAAAGGCATTCTCAAGTTTCTCAAGGTAAATGAGGCATTTACTAATAACAAAGTAGTCTTTGGCTATTATAAACTTACTGTGTCATGTAATTTAGCCTTATTTTCCAGGAAAGGAAGGAAAACATTTGCAAAGGAGGACTTGCTTGCATTCTTGTTCAGTGGCCCAGGCTGGTCTTTTAAAGTCCTAAGTTTGGAGGAGCCCCTCCCGTCCCAGGGTTCCAGTCCCAGGTTACACAAGTGCACCACCGCCCTAGCTCAGGGTTCCATTTCCTGGAGATGCCCATAGTGAGGAATGAGCGTGTGTGGAAGTGTGACAACAGGTGGTATCATACCAAAGGTTGGGTACGAGCTATATATTATTAACAGTGGGTAACAGACGTGGTGAGAGGAATAGTCACATTATTACTATTTATAAAATGCTTCCATTTTTCCCGAGTTAACCCTTTCAAGCACCTTCTCTTCCCCTTAAAACAGGTTCTTAGTTTCTATCAGTCTGAGATGTTTTTAAAGTCACATAAAAGAAAAGGTTGGGAGAGCACAGGAATTAACGGGCCTGCTTGATCACGACCACTTCAATTACAGGATAATACCGCATAGGACACATTACCTACATAACATCATAAACATACTGTAAGGTTAGGAATACACTTTAAATGATGAAGAAGGGCCTCAAAGGGCTCCATAAACTAGCTCAGGAAAAAGAGTGAAAGCAAGGTCCCTATCCTTCTTGAAGGCAATGACCAGACACACAACTGTGGTCCACGGGAGAAAGCTGCTTCTACCAAGCCACCGCACTCAATACTAAATGATTCCTAAGGCTCTCTTCTCTTTGGACGTCTTGATTGTTTTGAGACAGGGTCTTACGTACTCTAAAGTCTTACATCAACTAAGTTGCTGAGGTTAGCCTTGAACTACTGATGTTTTTTCCTTCCTTCACTTCCTGAGTACTGAGATTACAGGCATACATATGCATGACCAGCCTCGAAAATACTTTTAAACATAAATTCTGTACTATATAGCCAAGTAAGTATAGTATAGCTAGGGAGCACATTGGCCTGGTAGACTCTGAATCGGGGCTCTCTACAAGCAAGGCTTCAGGGCTCTGCCACTATGTGGAGTCCTCCTTTCTGCCTTGTTCTGTTTGCAGCATCTGCAATCCCTGCTTTGGGAAGCCCCATCTGGCTTATCTGCAGACCCAACACGTTGTATATGCTATGCGCTCATTTTCTTCTGTAATGCTGGGCTTCTTTTGTGTAAACATACACATTGACATATTTGTCTCAACATTTGCCCGTTAGCTGTCAGAGAGCAGGGCATACCAATATTCCCACCCTGACGCCCAGTACCTGACATTGTTAATTAAATCCCTGCCTGGCACTTCCTTCACATAGAAACTCAAAGTCTTCCAGAGAAGCGGGAAAACTCACTCAACATATGCTGATGACCAGGGTCACAACTGGGGGCCACTTTTGAACAACAGGAAAATCCATTCAGCTGATTTTTCTACAGCTTCCCTTCTCTGCCAAATTTGTCTTCAAATATATTCTTTCCATTTTTTTCTACAATCTTCTCTAACTACACCTGTTGCAATCTTTCTCAACCTTTTTTGTGACTGCTGAGGACTAAGGACACAGTTATTTTTTAAGAATATAGAGAGAAGTATGTTTTCAAAAACCAAATTAAGCCCTGGCAGGGTAGCACATGCTTGTGACGCTGGCAACTGGAAGGCAGGTGGATCTCTGTGAGTTCGAGGCCAGCATGGTCTACACAGCAAGTTCCAGGACAGCCAAAGCTAATGATAGCGAGACCCTGCCTCTCCTGATAAATAAAAACCTTTCTTAAAAAAAAAAAAACTAAATTAGGGAAAACTCAGCACTTGGTAAACTTGTAATTAATCCACACTAAATTTTTATTATGATACCAAATAATTATTCTGTATGTTTCCCTTTGTCTCATACAGATGTAAGTTTTTAATCATGAACATATAAAATATATAAGATTAGTTTTTTTAGTCTACTTAAGTTTGTTTTCAAATGATTTAAAGCACTCACTTTTACTTTATAGCATATTTGACAACAGAACAACAGAATAGGAACTCTTTTTTTTTTTTTTTTTTTTTTTTTTTTTTTTGGTTTTTCGAGACAGGGTTTCTCTGTAGCTTTGGAGGCTGTCCTGGAACTCACTTTGTAGACCAGGCTGGCCTCGAACTCACAGAGATCCGCCTGCCTCTGCCTCCCGAGTGCTGGGATTAAAGGCGTGTGCCACCAACGCCCAGCTCAGAATAGGAACTCAAAAGAAATTATTTTATATACTGTACTCATGACAGGTATACCTTTTTAAGTTCCTATTATTCCTATATACAGAATATAGCCTGTCTTTTTTTTTTTTTTTTTTTTAGTAAACTGGTAATCTGTGTATCTGGGACTCCTGACTCAGGCCCAAATGTCTTTATAAACAGTAAGTGTTCCTTGTTTCCAGAGCCACAGAGAAAGCAGTTTTCCAAATGTCCCTTGACATCCTGTCTTCACCCTGAGCTTATTTCTTCTCTAGACCCAAGTTTAGAGTAGAACCAAAGACCACTGCTGTCCTTGTGTGCACCAAGCCTTCACTGGCCACCTGGTTTAAGAACAAATGTTCTGTTTCTACCACTAGCTACCAAGTTAAACTAATTGGCAACATTTAGAAAAACTGCAAACCCAGTTCAACCACCCTCCAAGGGAACATCAAAGGCTATCCTTAGGAAGTAAACACTGCTACATTTAAGTTTATTAAATCATCAATTTACCAGATACTCCAAATAGAAAAATGTCTACTTTCCAAAAATAAATCATATATAAAGTTAAAATTAAGTGAATTCATTCATTTTTTAAAAATGAGACAACTGTTTCCTTTCATACTCAAGAACTAGTAATTACAAAACACAATGTACTTACTCTTAACTATTGCTGCAAAAATAAAGACATGCTGTAATAGACTGTTGTTAATTATTGACTTACACAATGGATATGTGATTCCCCTTAAAAAGTCAGTCTCATTTCAAACACTCTTGGCTTCTTCCTAACAGTAAAACAGATTTCTAACCACACATACTGGCTTTTTCAGGATAAGCAAACCTTTCCAAGGGATAAACGCTAGTTCTAACAAGTGAAGGTTGCCTTTGCTACATTAGTGGGAAGGAGGGATGTTACTGTGATGCTGTTAGAGTTCCCAGGAAGCAGCTAGTGGCCACACTCAGCAACTTGTTCTCAGAGGTTTAGAGCAGGGTTAGCAACATGACATTGAAGATGCTGTGAGGGAAGGCAAGTGATAATCCACCAGACTTGCGGGCTACAACTACCCAAGTGCTTTGCTTCCCCACAAGGGAATGCAAAAAGCGGTGGAAGGACTCACCACACTGCCAATCTGTGTTTTAGGCTGTTTGGAGGAATCCAAAGCAAAGATAGTATACTCAGAGAGAAAGGCAGGTTCTGCTACCATCCCGGCTAGTACCTGTCTCAGTCAGTGTAACAAGTAGAGGTACAAAAACAAGACAAATGATCAATACAAATCATGGCATGTTCCAAAGTGATCTCACAGCACTACACTACAACATTTATAATACTGCAGCCACTCTCATGATGACCACAGAAAGTTGCTGGGAAAGATCAGGAATGGGATGAACCTGTGAGTTTAGGATTCCAAAGGCCCACATGGAAGCCACTTGCTAACTGGCATACACATGTATGCAGTAGGCATCACTGTACAGAGTAAGTGCGAAGAACGGGTGACAAGCAATGAAGACTCATTAGCTCTTCTTACAGACACCATCCTCCCCCTCAGCAGCAGCAGCAAAATCATGACAGGAGGAAGCTTCAGGGGGCGATGGTATAGAGTACAGCTATAGTCCCAACACTGATAACTTCACAGGTCTACACTCATCCTCAACTTACTGAGTTATATACACCAAAAGTAGAAAACTTTCATGTTAAGCATATCTCAGGAAAGTGGGCTTAAAGATAAATGTAAACAACACAAAACTTTAGCATAACTTTTATAAATACTAAGATGAATTCTTTTTCTTTTTTTAATATACAATGCTTCATGAATTGTGTGTCATCCTTGCAGAGGGGCCATGCTAATCTTCTCTCTATTGTTCCAATTTTAGTACATGTGCTGCCGAAGCGAGTGCCTAAGATGAGTTCTTAGGATACTTAAAAAGGCAGCACTGAAGTATACACAAATAATAAAACACAAAAAGCCTTTACTAATACTTATATCAAAATTCCTTTATCAAAAGTACATACGTAAGAGCTGAGTGGTGCTGGCACATGCCTTTAATCCTAGCACTCAGGTGGCAGAGGGCTACACAGAGAAACCCTGTCTTGAACCCTCCCCACCAAAAAAAGTACACATGTAAGAAACATCTAAAATAAACAAAATCTATTGACACTAGTTCTTTGGGTGCATATTCTTTTGTGCTTCCTTTTTCTTCCAGAAACTGTTACACCAAAATAGAAACAGTCATGGATTGGACATATCAACTCTTATGTAAAATGATTTGTTTTGCTGTGTATGCTAACATCAGTTGTCTTTCTTGATTGTTCTCCACTTTACCTACCGAAGCAGGGTCTCTCCCTGAGCTTGGCACTTGCCATTTCCAGCTAGTCTACAGCTTGCACAGGGATCTTCCTTTGTACACAAGGCCTAGGATCACAAGCTGCCCCACACTTGCCTGGCTTTTGTGTGGGCTCTGGGAATCTAAACTACAATCCTCCTCACACTTGTACAGCAAGTGCTGTCCCCACTGAGCTACCGCCCCAGGTCACCCCCTCAATGACAGAGACTGTATGTCTATTCATGAGTAGAACTGCACACATTACTAACGCAGACCAGGCACACAAGTTCAGTACATGTAGGACAGGAGAATCTAAATAGGAGCTCCATGGGTGTCACAGATTTCTCAATGGTAACTGTTCTGTGGATACAACGGTATAATTACACAGGATGTTGTTATTTTGAGAGAGGGTATACAAGCTCCCCCTAGTTCTTTATAATCTCCTATGCATATATAATTATTGCAAAATAAAAATGCTAAAAAAATTAATCCAGTGAAACATTGATGGCAGTTTTATGAAAAATTATATAATGAATTAAAACATACTCTATGGTATATAATACACTATACAATGCAGTACATAATATACAACAAATCATATATCCTGTAAAAGACATGTCTGAAAATAAGTATGTACAAAAATTTAAAAACATTAGCGGGCTTTGGTGATGCACACCTTTAATCCCAGCACTCAAAAGGCAGAGGGAGGCAGATCTCTGTGAGTTCAAGGAAAGCCTGGTCTACATAATGAGTTCCAGGACAGCCAAATCTACACAGAGAAACCCTGTATCAAAAAAACCAAAAAAAAAAAAATTAAAAATTCACTTTTCTCTCAGGACTTTAAGGCTACAGATACTGACTACAGTGTTCACTAATTCTTTACCCAGCACTATACTAGAGACATCCTAATTATAGACAGACAAAATTTTGGTTTATTTGTTCTGAATGGTGCTTTAAAACAGGCTCTCGCTGGGCAGTGGTGGCATACACCTTTGATCCCAGTACTCGGGAGGCAGAGACAAGTGGATCTCTGTGAGTTCGAGGCCAGCCTGGTCTACAGAACAAGTTGCAGGACAGCCAAGGCTACAGAGAAATCCTGTCTCCAAAAATAAAAAAATAACAACAACAAAAAAAATGGCCCTTATGTAGGTGGCCTCAAGCTTATTATGTAGCAAGGATAACTTTGAAACATTGACTTTCCTGACTCTTGTTCCCCAACTGGATTAATTAGTTATGTGTCACTATGCCAGACCAAGACAGAATAAAATTAAACAATTTTTAAAAAATGACGTCTATGCACTTTGGTGTGTGTATGCATGTAAGCATGAGGGTAAATGTGGAGGCCACAAATTCATGTTGAATGTCTCCCTTTATTGCTCTCAACCTTTATTTTCTTTTTTAAGTATTTATTTATTTTATGAGCACTGGTGTTCTGCCTGCATGTATGCCTGTGTGAGGGTGTCAGATCCCCTGGAACTGGAGGCTGTCCTGGAACTCACTCTGTAGACCAGGCTGGATTAAAGGCAGGCGCCACCACCGCCGAGTTATACTAAATTCTTAATGTTGTTACCAGTTAGTTATATATTAAACTATGCTAAATGCCTGCCTGGCTCCAAGAATCCCATCCAAACTTAGTGAAAATCTGACCCTTCTCCTGCCCTGTCCTTATCTGTTTCTTTATGTCTGTGTGTCTCACCAGCTCTAGGCTGTCCGCACAGCTCAGTGGTAGAGACTGCACAGAAGGTACAAGGCCATTGGTTCCATCCCAACACCAAACAAACAGAAAGCAAACAGCTTCTCCAACACTCAAAAGATTCCAGCCAGTCAATTTCCCAAAATTTGTTCAAATTCTAATGTAAAACAGCTGAAAACAAACTCACCTCTTCTGTGTGGTCCACAGCAGAGTCATCACAGCACCAACACTAAGGGAGTGACGGCCCCCGGCATTCAAGTCAACCAACCACCTGAAGCCTCTGGACTACCTTGAAGGAGTTCAACCTATCCTGAAAGTCTCAAGCATGCCATCCTTCTACATCTGTGTCTTTCCACGGTGGGCTAGTCAGCACTCTTTCTGAATTCACCCATTTTTCCTTGTGGTGATATATTATTTATGATTTGATAAAGCTTGCCTGAGGGTTCAGGATGCAAAGTCAGCTACAAGCTACAGAGGTCAGGCAGTGGTGATACCTTTAATTCCAGTAGCCACAGAGCTAGGTGGCAGTAGTATACACCTTTAATCCCAGAACTCAGGTAAATAGACAGGTAAACAGATCTCTCTGAGTTCAAGGCCACCATGGCCTACACAAGAGTGAAGAGTAACAGAGCTCACTCATGCCTTTGATCCCACTACTCAGGATCACACACCCACAACTGCCTGTAACTACAGATGCGGCAGATTCATCACCCTCCAACAGTGCCTCCTAGGGAGTTAGAACCCCAGAACTGGAGTTATGGGCAGCATGCATCAAACATCCCCATGTGCTTGCTTGGAAATGAATCGAGCCCTGTGTAAGAGCAACAAATGCTCCTGACTGAGCCATTTCTTCAGTCCCCTTAATATCTTCCTATATTTGTTATACTTCACAGAAAAAAAGGAACAAAAACAGTCACTTTTCATGCCAATTGCTAGTTATATGGAATTGGTTGTTACTTTCCAGTTTCTAACCACCAGCTTGAAAATATAGGGCTTTTCCTCATATTTGAACAAAATATTACTGAATTATTCTAATAGCTCCAAATATTAAATAAACATATTTATCCTCAAATTATTTTTCTATAACAGTTTACAAGAGTTAACTGCTACTTGTATTTAAAAAAAGAAAAAGACCGGTTGAATTATTAATACAACACCCAGTAATTAAATAACCAATTTGTCAAAACTGTTTCCCATACTGTCCCCATCATCAGCATTACAGTTAACGTCCATGAGAAGCATATGTGAATGCCACACTAACCTCTCTGTTTGGGGTCACGTCATCGAGCTGGTCTGCAAATGAAGATGTCCTGCTTCTAACCCTTGTTGGTGTTGAAGAGCTGGAGGAAGCCTACATTTAAAAATTATTGTACAAATTAGAAGACAGCACTGACTAGCACACTATTCTTTTTTTTTTACATTGCCTTATTATATTTTTATTACTGTTTCTTTTTTTTAAAGTACATTATTCTTGAGTGGTTATTCTTTCTCACGCCGTGCCCAGGAAGTCAAAAAAGAAAAGGGATATGTAAAAAATCAGGAGAGAATAATTACAATAAAATTACTAGAAGACTTAGCTATCCACTAGGTCCTTGACCTGACAGTCAATTTTAGCAAAATACATATAATAAGGCTGTGATTATATTTAGGATGATAATATTGGGGAAAACTGAAGTCAAGTGAAGAGTATATGAAAATTGTACTATCTTTGCCATTTTCTGTAAAACAAAATGACTCAAATATTTTGAGTTCATTAAAAACAAAACAAGAAGGTCGAGCCAGATGGTGGTGGTACACACCTTTTTTAATCTCAGCACTCGGGAGGCAGAGGCAACAGGTAGATAGATCTCTGTGACTTTGAGGACAGCCTGGTCTACAGAGGGAGTTCCAGGACAGCCAAGGGTACAGAGAAAGTCTGTCTTGAAAAACTAAACCAAACAAAAAGGTTGTCAATTTCAACTTTAAAGTCCCCGAAACATTCAGTACTATGAACTTTACAGGTAAATAGCATGTCCCACCTCTCTAGTCAAAAACCTCTCTTTGAATCTACAAGTAAGCACAGCTGGACACTAAGATGCTAAGAACAACAGAACTACTAGATCCTCAATATAGAACAAAAAGCCCAAAAACTAACCCTGGCATCTGAAGTCTACTCTAATATGAGCTAAAAAAAAAACAGCCCTGAAAGTGTAAAACCAAAACATGAAACTCCTCTGTACCTGTAACAAAGTATCACCTCTGAACTCTCCTCACCAGAGAACAAGCGGACAAATGGAACTCTTTAACCTATGCGCTGGCACACTGCTACGACCAGGGTAGAGCAGAGGGCATGAGCAGTCACACACATACAACACTTCACACACACAAAGAAAAACAAGCAGATGTAAGCTAAACCTCACATCAGGGTAGATGTTCAGTAAACAGTGTAGAAACAAGTGGCCATCCACTCTGGGAAAGACACAAATGTTAGCCTCTGAATGGAAATGATGTTTATGTCAAAGGCAGAATGTAGAGTGAGTTTAAATGGCCAAGACACCTATACACCTAAGCTCATTAATTTCTTCAATCAGCAGCTCCCATAAAGCCTACATTAAACCTTAAAAACGTACTAACCCAGTCCTCCCTTTATCTGCAACAGGCAACTGGAGATCTGGCAACCAGGCACACCCACGTGGGACTGAGTCACACGTAAGAAAATAGGCTGACAAAGTTAAAGGTCACCCTTTGGGAAGCACGGGAACAGAGCTGGAAACAGCTAAGGGAGCACGGTGCAATGGGAGGTGCTGGTGCCTAGTGTGAGCAGCCCAGGATGGGGTAATCAGCCCAGGCTAAGGAGCCTTCCAGAAACCCAGCTACCAAACATTCCTTAACAAATTCCTTT